GCAGGATCAATGGAGCCCAGCAGGTCGAGGCTGCGGTGGCCAGGAGCAGCCACTGCACTCCAGTCTGGGCGACGGAGTGAGACTCCAACTCAAAAAAATTAAAAAAATTAAAATAAATAAAATAAAATAAACTGAGCTTCAGTAGCATAGGTTATCAGGAGACTGCTGCTCCATGTGATCTTTCAGGTACCCAAGATCCCTGAATGTGGCATGTCTGCACAGTTGAAATTTGGTCACGGCATGTCTGAATGGTAGCTCATAAGAAGGTAGAAAGAGAAGAAGTGGCAAGCAAACAATTTCCTTTTGTGAGGCAGAAGGGATGAGGCAGAAGGGAAGCACCCAATGGTTGAGAACATAGTCACTTGGTCAAGGCTGACTTGATGGTTGTTTTTAGTGGCATCCATTCTGACTGACTAGATGTCCATTTGGATTAATTAGATGTCCATTAGGATTAATTAGATGCCCATTAGGATTGGTTAGTGCCTGTGCTATACTGATTACTATAGATAGTGTTATATATAGGTGTGTGTGGGTGTGTGTGTGTGTGTATATTTTGAGTTGGAGTCTCATTCTGTCACCCAGGCTGGAGTGCAGTGGCATGATCACAGCTCCCCACAGCCTCAACCTCCTGGGCTCAGGTGATCCTTCTTTCTCAGCCTCCTGAGTAGCTGGGACTATAGGAATGGGCCACCATGCCCAACTAATTGACTTTTTGTAGAGACGATGTCTCACTATGTTGCCAATGTCTCGGATTCCCGGGCTCAAGCAGTCCTCCCACCTTGGCCTCCCAAAGTGTTGGGATTACAGGCATGAAGCCACCATGCTCGGCCTGATTACTATATATTTTGAATATCACTCCTAGGCACATGGTGTGGGTTAGCTGAAAAGAGGGCTAGGAAATGAGTCTAGCTACACAGGCATGTGCCAAATTCACACAATATTATTTTAGAAGAGGAGGAAAGAGTTTGGTGGAAAGTAGCATCCCCACCACAGGCAGCTTTGGGAACAGGGAAACTGATGAGTTTGATGACTGAACAGTGGAAGGAAAGACCCTGACTCCTGAATGAGGATGTGGTGAGTTTGGGAAGAGGTGCTGGGTGAGGAAGGAGACCTTACGGAGGAGAATTGAGAACTGGTAAGCTAGATCGCGGAAAAAGAGGGTGAGAAAAGCATCCCTCCTTCATAAATACTTACTGAGCCCCTGCTAGGAACTGGGGCTCATGCTGGGCACTGGGATCACAGAGATGAATAAGAGCATGAACTTATTCTTCAGAGAACGCAGGGTCCTGTAGGGTGGCAGACAGCAATGGGGATAATGACAACGCAGCATGATGCTTGCAGTAATGGAGGTAGCATGAGCATTGTGGGAGCACCGGGGAGGAGGACTGTCTAAGCCAGGACATTTTTGGTACAAGAAACAGAGTCTCATTCAAGTATCCTCAGGGGAAAAGAGGTTTATTGGAAAGATAAACATAGAGAAATGCAGAAGCCAGGAATTGAGGCTAAGCCTGAGGCCGGTTATTTTTTCAGTTCCTTGTGATTCGGTTGTTTTTACTCTCTGCCCCTTTTTCTGTCTGTCTCTGTCTCTCTGTCTCTTTCTCTCCCTGGCTTGCCTCTCTAGAGATTGTTCAGTTCTTTACTCAGAATTTCTGCTCTTTATAACTTCAGCCCTTTCTGGTCATCTCCTGTCCCTTCAGATCTCATGGCAAAATGTCATCCCAAGAGAGGAAATGTATTAGCCTCAACCAGCCTTCCAAACCAGGTTGCACAAGTCTTGGGTCAGCCTGTGGAGTCAGGGAGGTTTCTAGGAGGAGGAGATATCTAAGCTGAAACTTGAAGGATGAATGGCTCGTTCATTCAGTCACTGAAAATCCCTTTATTGAAGGTCTACTCTGTGCCAAGCCCTGCTTTAGGCACAGGGTATAACATTGGATAAACTCCCTGCTCTCACAGAGCTTACAGTCTAATAGGGGAGACAAGCAGTGAACAATCAAGAAAAGAGAGAAGAAAGTACCAGCAGGTGATAATTTCTCAGATGAAAATCAAACAGGAGGAATGCGATAAATGCTTAGGGGGCTAGGCTAGGTGCGGTCGTCAGGAAAGGCCTTTCTGAGCTGGTGAAATTTGGAAGGAAAAAAATGGATAAAGAAAAGGAGCTAAGCATTGGAAGATCTGAGTGAAGGGAGAGGAAGCAGCAGGCAAAAAGGCCCTGTGGCTAAAACTGCCTCGTCTCAGTCTGTTTTGTGCTGTTACGACAGAATGCTACAGACTGGGTAATTTATAATGAACAGAAATGTATTAGCTATGGTTCTGGAGGCTGGGAAGTCCAATATCAACATGTCAGCATCTGGTGAGGGCCTTTTTGCTACATCATTACATGGCAGAAGGCATCACAAGGCAGAAGGGCAAGAAGGGTGGGGGAAAATAGTGTGAACCTGCTCTGGAGATAACAGCATTAGTCTGGTCACGAGGATGCTGGAGCCCTCATTGACCTGAATGCTTTTTTTTTTTCTCTTTTGAGTTGGAGTCTCACTCTGTCACCCAGGCTGGAGTGCAGTGGCACTCTCACAGCCACTGCAGCCTCGACCTTCTGGGTTTAGGCGATCCTTCTACCTCAACCTTCCAAGTAGCTGGAACCACAGGCACGTGCCACCACGTCCAGCTAAATTTTTGTTTTATTGTAGAGATGAGGTCTCCACAAGTTGCCCAGGCTGGTCTTGAACCCATGGGCTCAGGCAATCCTCTCACCTCGGCCTCCCAAAGTGCTGGGATTATAGGTGTGAGCCACCACAACCCGCTGACCTGAATACTTCTTAAAGGTCCCACCACCCAGTACCATCATAATGGCAATTACATTCCAGTGAGTTTTGGAGGGAACAAACATCCAAACCATTGCTGCCTGTCTGAGAGTCTGAAATACCAGTATGGGTGGAGTGTGGGGAGAAAGGTATGAGTGGGGGATGGAGAGATATACAGGGTCCTACTCATGCAGGGCCTTTAGGCCGGGGGAAGGGGGTTGGACTGGATTCTAAGAGTGGTGGGATAGTATTCCAGGCAGGGGAAACAGCATGTGCAAAAGCCTGGACAGATTGGAGGGACCACAGTAGCTCAACGCTGATGAACGCAGTAGAATTAGGGCCTGGGGGTGATGAGGCTGGGGAGGTAGGGAGCACCAAGCCTTTGCCTTCAATGACAGGTTGAGAAGCCTGGATTTGTTCCAGGGCACTGGCGAGCCAGGGGTGGGCTATGAGCAGGGGAGAGGTGGAGTGAGGTTTGGGTGTAGGACGACCCCTCTGGGGCCAGGTGAGGTGCAGACTGGAGGAGAGAGGTTGGAGGCTGGAGGCCAGGCAGAAGGCTGGGGTGAGGATCCCGGAGGGCTCTGGAGATGTAAAGGAGAGAGCCCTGGGGCAGGAAAGAGAGTCCCCGGGGCTTGAGGACTGATGGCCTGGTTGGAGGGGCAAGGAAGCAGCTAAGAATCTAGGAAGGACGATGGGAGAGACAATCAGAATACAGGATAATGTTGCACAGTGAAGATCCCCCGGGCTTCTTCTCAGTGGAAGGGACATTGAACCGAGTCTTCAAGACACATATGAGTTGGTCAGAATGAGAAGGGGAGGAATAAGGGTTTTCCAGGCAGAGAGAACAGCACTTGAAAGATCTAGAGACAGGAAATCACTTGACATGTTTGGGAGGCACCTTGCATTCAGTGTCGATAGAGCAAATAAAAGCCTTCTGGGTGGAAAGTGATCAGAGATGGGGCCAGGAGCCTGGACTCCTGGGTCCTGGGGAAAGATGGGTCTGAAGGAGGCAAGGTCGAACACAGAAGGATGCTCGGGCCTCAACACCAAGCTGAGGGCCTGAGACCTTATCCTGGGGCATCAGGCAGCCAAGGGGAAGCTGGGCAGGGAAGAGACACATTTGTGTTTGAAATTTTGGAGGTGAAGGACAGATTCCAGCTGTGGCTATTCAGGAAGAAGGGCATTTTTTCTCTACCTTCAGCTGTCAATGTCCAGCCCAAGTCCCCACATGTCCCCTCCCTTCCTCCTGGGTAGGTACTTCATGAACATCACCTGGGATAACCGGGATTACTCCTTCAACGAGGATGGTTTCCTGGTGAACCCCTCCCTGGTGGTCATCTCCCTCACCAGAGACAGGACGTGGGAGGTGGTGAGTCACAGCCCTGCAAGAGGGCCTGGCCTCTTGGGTCCTGGCACGTGGGTGGGGGTGGGGTGGGGTGGTGAAGCCCTGGGTCCTGGGGGAGAAGAGTGCCTGAGGAAAGAGGGGTCTGAAGGAGGAGGGAGGGACTTCTAGGTCCTGGAGGGGGTGGTGCCTACACACCTAGATCTGAGGGAGCAGGGATGTGGAGGCCAGGACACCCTGGTAAGTTCCCCAGAGACGCCTGACTCTCCTTCTCTTTGGCCAAGGTGGGCAGCTGGGAGCAACAGACTCTGCGCCTCAAGTACCCGCTGTGGTCTCGCTACGGCCGCTTCCTGCAGCCAGTGGATGACACGCAGCACCTCACGGTGGCCACGCTTGAGGAGAGGCCGTTTGTCATTGTGGAGCCCGCGGACCCCATCAGCGGCACTTGCATCCGAGACTCTGTCCCTTGCCGGAGCCAGCTCAACCGAACCCACAGGTGACAGCCCGGGATCCACGAGTTCCAGCTTCAAAACCCTCCTCCCAGTAGTCGTGGCCCCCAGGCCCCTCCTCTCTTGGGACCCAGGACCCCCAGAGCCCTCCAGCGACCTTGGGCAAACTGCATAACTCCTCTGAGCGTCAGTTTCCCCAGAAAGCGCTAACCATAGTTTTAACTGCTGCCTGACCCTTCCTCCACACCCTCACCCCATGTGAAAGTCTAAGGGGGGTCCCCAAACTCCCCAAGCCTGGTCGCTCCCCGCAGCCCTCCACCGGATGCCCCCCGCCCGGAAAAGCGGTGCTGCAAGGGCTTCTGCATCGACATTCTGAAACGGCTGGCACAGACCATCGGTTTCAGCTACGACCTCTACCTGGTCACCAACGGCAAGCACGGGAAGAAGATCGACGGCGTCTGGAACGGCATGATCGGGGAGGTGAGGTGGGGTGGGACAGGATGGAGCGGGGCATCTTTTGGGGCGGAGGGGTGGGGCCAAGAGGCGGGCGCCCTGGGGCCGGGGGCACGGCCAAAAGGAGGTAACGCCTGGCTCCGGAGAGGCGGGGCCGCGAGAAGACCACGCCTTCGAGAGGGGGCGGGGGCGGGAGGAGGCGGGGCTTGGAGAGTGGGACTG